TGGTCCTGGCTCTGACTACACGTTTTTCTCCAAGTATTGCACTGTTTCAGTAAGCCAACCCCATGTGCAAGCTGCCCCAATAATTTCAGACAAATAGCAGCTATTGACATACCTAGGGGTGCACCGCTAGAGATTTTTTGGGCTGATACCGATGGCCGATTTTTAACAAGCCATGTCAGCCAATACTGATTTGATGGCGGATATGCAGCCCCGCAGCATGGAGAGTGGCGACCAGTTGGTAAGTCTGATGTGAGGGAAGGAGTAGGGGGGCAAGATCAAGGCCCCTGCGGTTAGGGAGTGGGGCTGGGGTAGGCGTTGCACAGCCAGGGTGGGGCATGGGACGGAGCCCTGAGCGTCTCGTTCGGTGGGGGGCACGGGGCGGCTCCTGTTACATATACCCCAGGAAGGCATAGGGGGCATATGCCCCTGGATCTGTGCATGGAGCAAGGGTGGGCTGGGGCCTGGGCAGTGCCACTCTTCTCAGCATGGGGTTGGGTCAGCCTGCGCTTGGGGTGGACAGCAGTGGCACTGGAATTGGGGCTACGGGGGGAACCGCAGCCCCCACTCCCAGTGCCACCACCACCCACCCTTAGCGCAGCCTGGCTCAGTCCCCTGCCAGGAAGAGCCTGGCACTGCCCCAGCCCCAGCCAGCAGTGGCAGCCTGTCCTTGCCCTGCATGCAGATCTGGGGGCACAAGCCCCCCATGCCCTCCCAGGGTGCATGCAGAAGCAGGAGCTGCCCCTCTCCCCGCATCCCCCAGATGAGCCACTCATGACTCTGTCCCGTGCCCTACTCTGGATGTGCAGTGCCTGCCCCTGCCCTACTCCCTCCCTCACTGAGGGGGTCTCGATCTGCCCCCACACCCCTTCCCTCCCATCACCCCTTCCCCCACAACAGACTTACCAGCCAGACCCGGCTGCTCTCCATGCTGACCGACTGTGCTCCTTGCCACCTGTGTACTGTGCTGCAGCTGAGCACGTGCACATGACATTTATCAGCCACATCAGCCAAAAAAAGCCAATTGCTGATACTTTTAAATTTCCTTATATCAATGGCTATCCGATATGGGACCGCCATATCGGTACATCTCTAGACATACCCAGGTAAAAAGCTACTTCCATTAAAGGCAATTTAAACAAGGAAAGAACCCAAAGATTTAAATCCACTCAAATACTAAAATAATACTGAAAACATCGGGCATGGTATTTTTATGGCGTGAACATACAAGTCAAAACTGAAGGGAGGAGAGTTATAGATCAACACCACATATAAGCTACATGTAATTTTTATGTTTCTACTTGGAGAAAGAAAAGGAGACATAATCTGAACAATACAATCTATCATCCCTGTCGTCATAACAATATAATACAGGCAGACACCAGCCTGTTCAGGTACCACTGGAATCTGAACCATGGGACCTCAGCAACACAGCAAACCTTCCTATTCTGAGCTCTATGTTTCTGTAGTTAAATTGCCAGCAGCACCTGAGATGGCAAATTAAAAGCTAACTCATGTATGTCTAAACTATACTGAAGTCACTGCTACACTGATATATCTAAGGGACTTAGAAACAGTTAATAACACAAACTCCTCCAAGGATCTTAGGAAGACTTGCATACCTTTGAGAACCTGTGCCTTCCAGCTCAGTATCCCGGTTCTAAAGAAAGATCTGCATGTTCCATATTTCTTGGGAACCAGGAGAACTCAGTCTAGACCTCGTTTCTCCATTTGGAAATGGCTACTGTAAAAGCACCTAAAACCGCTCGTCACCCACCGAGCAAGTTTTGTACAAGACACTACAGACTTTCTACGGAAACTTAAAATTCCCCACAAAGTTTTATCAATGATGAGAGAGTTCAAATAGAACCAAATTTTAACTTAATATAAATTACACTATCTTAATTTATAAACATTTCTATGGTTGCACATGAAGATTCACTCCTCTTCTGGTTTCCTTCAACTGGCTTTTTAACAGATGTTATCCAGAATACCAGGTGCTAACTTTTGTACTAGTATCTCAAAATAAGTAAACAAGAGTGATCACAGGCATTACAAAACATGACTTGACAGCAGCAGATAACACATCACAGAAAGAATGCAGACCTCTGATGAGCATCTAAAAAAACTTGACATTGTCAACTGTTTCATAGCCCTAGGGTGACCAGCTGGAAATGATTCACAAACCAGATTAGAAAGCATTTGGATAGTTTGGATACTTGTTTGCACTTCCCATAAATAGGACTGGAGGCTTCTACCTGTATTTTACAAACGAGATGAAAACAGCTTTCAAAAGCAAGAGCACTCGCTTCTCCCAGCTACGGAATGCAGGAGTTACCTAATAGTTTATACAACTATTTAGGTAAATTGTATGTTAATAGACCTGATTATCACTGAGTACTGAGAACCTGTCATCAACAGAAATTGTAGCTTCATATCTGGATAGCCACCTGGATACCACGTGAAGAACTGCTGCAGTACAGAAGAAACCCCCACACAAATCGCACACTGCTAGTTATGACGTATCACCCCTCCCTTGAACCTGTACAAAAAATCCTCAAAAAATTGCAACCCATACTAGAAAGAGACCCTATTTTTAAAAAGATCTTCCCAGAGCCACCCATCCTAGCCTTCAAACAAGCACCGAACCTCGCCAATCTCATCATCAGAAGCAAACTTCCTCAAGCCCAGAACACACCAAAAGGATCCAGACTGTGCCAGGACAAGAAACGCAAAACCTGCCAACACATCTCCACCACCCCCACTACTACTACACCCCACAACAGAGCCATCAGCATCCCAAGATCTTACAGCTGCACCTCCAGAAATGTAGTATACCTCATCCAATGCACCAAATGCCCTGATGGAAAATAGGTAGGAGAGACCAAACAACGACTGCGCACCAGAATGAACGCACACCAGAAATCTATCAAAGACAGAAATACCCAATTACCGGTGGGGGCACATTTCTCACAGGAGGGCCACTCTCTCTCCAATCTCTCAGTCCTGATCCTCAAGGGAAACTTGCACAACACTTCTCAGAGACGAGGCTATGAGCTCCATTTCATCAACCTGCTGGATACTAGAGATCATGGACTAAACATAGACATTGGATTTTTGATACATTATAATCTGCCTGGCAACTGACTCCCCAGCCCAGCCCAGCCCCTGGCTTCTTTACTTTTCATTCCATCCAGGAAGAGCACACACCAACTGCTGAAACTTCCTTAGCCTGACGAAGGGTTTTTGAACCCGAAAGCTTGCTTAATAACTATTCTCCAACTATTTGGGTTGGTCTAATAAAAGATATCAAATTCACCCAAGGAACCCTGTCTGCCTACGTCCTTAGACCAACAGGGCTACAACCTACACCCCTGTAACAATAGATCAGGCGTAACTGTGTTTCAAAAAGTATCAAGTTATCTGAAGCCCATCTAGACTAAAACAAAACTGAATCAAGTGACAGGATGCCAATCTGGTTAAAAGTTACAGTTATTCAGATACATTATTAGGTCTGTTTTTAAACCTGACTTAGATATAACCAGAAAAAAGACAAACTAAAATTTCAAATTAAAGCTAAAGTTCCGCTCTCTTTCTGCTATTACTCCATGATTCTCTCTTTCTGTAGCATCTATCTAGACTTGGCCATTACAGATAGAATTTCACCAAGAACAGGGAACCAGAGGATAAGAAAGACTATTTAAATCAACAGCCACGTCAACTATTACTTCACTCATTCCACCAAAATCCAGGATGGAGCAACCGTACAGGAAACCCAATAATTTGAATTTTATGCAAGACTGGAAATATTGGAAAGGAAAAGAATAAAGGTGCCTCAACTCAAACCTATCAAGGAAATACAAGTTAAGCTGCCACTTCTAAAATACTCACATATCTGCAGAAGCCAACTGATAAATATTTTCAGCCAGTTTTCCCAAGCTTCATCTCTTAAGACTTTGTGCAGAATTACACAAAAAAGATGACACACGGAAATTTTATGGCTACTACCTACGTTTCTGCCTCACATGTATAAAAGTAACAAACTGAAGTAATAAGTTGCCTACTTACCTTTATTCTAACAAAGTTTATTAGCTTAACATATCCATAAAATTCAAGTCCTGAAAAAAAGAATAAAGCTAATGTAAAAGGAAATCTACATAATTTACAATAACATGAATGTTAATTGGTTGTTCAATTGGCCGATTTCCCCTTGGGGTTTACATCATTATCTAGCGCAGTGTTTGCATCTTAATTTGCCATTTACATTATTCTGAAATTTTTCTTCAGGATAAAAATGACCGATTCTTTAATTCAGTTCGAATTTATGTTTAGTTTTTCGCATGTCAAACATATGCAAACACAGCTTATCATCAGGGATTTTCCTCTCTTGCCAAACAGCTATTATTTTTACAAAGGTTCCTTAACTGTAAACACCCTTTGTCTAAGAACTACACAGAACAGAATACTTATCCACATTTGTGCTTTTGGCCTATTGAAAATAAGTGAATCGTGGCCAACAGTAATATTATGACAAACATTCCTTTAAAATGGCTATTTAACACAACAAAAGCCGTCTACATGCATACATGGACAGCAGTTGCATTGAACAGCCATTACCTAAAGCTAAATTATAGTCTCCACTGGTCCTTATAGCTTGTACATGGTTCTCAAAATCCTTCAAAGAGTTGTCCGTCTCCTCCCAGCATATCTTCCAAAGCTATGGCATCCTGAACTGCAGGCCATGTGGGTGAGGTCTGGTCCAGCCGTGCAGAGGGAGGCAAGGAATGTGGGCCCAGCCTTGCCACTGCTGCCCCACTGCCAAATTTTCCAACCCAGGGAGAGGCCTGCAGGCCCAATGCCATGGCTCTACAGGCTGGATTTGACCCAAGAGGCTGACCACCCCTGACCTAGACAGACAATACCAAGGTTTCTGAAACCTAATTCCTCCTAGCTTTTTTTCTTATTTCCAGACTCCCAAATTATTTTCAAAATGTTTTGGATGCTAAAACAGAAATAAAATTCCTTCCTAGGCTCCTCTACTCTCCTTAATTAAAAAGTATCTTTCTTCAAGAACAACTCCTGTATATCCAAACTATGATTTCTCTAGTTTCCTCATAAATAACTTTCCTCCATCTTAACACAAGCCTACCCACAAATTGCTGTCCTTTACACTACACCCATATTAGCTCTCTGCTACTGTTTTTAAAAGTATCCAAGCAATTTAGTCTCATAAGTCACGATGTCAAGTCTAAAGCTACATAGATATTTGGGACTTTCAATGAGACATTAGGCTAGGACATAACATACTTACATTGGTATAATTTGCATCAGTTAGTACAATAATGTAACCTATGTTGATAACCAAACCAGCTCTCTGAAGCTAACTGTTGGCAATAAGCCAGTGTTTCCCAAACTTTTCCTCAGCGTGACCCCATTTATTAGAGGTGCACCGATACATCGGTCTGATATCATATTGGCACCAATACGGAGAAAACGGTCTATATTGGAAACTGGCCTGATGTGGCCAATAAATGGCCTGTGCAGGTGTGCAGCTGCAGCGCAGCATGTAGGCAGTGAGGAGCACAGCCAGCAGCACGGAGAGCTGTGTGTATCTGGTAAGTCGGGCAGCACGGAGCTTCAGTCACCAATTTGATTTGTAGGATATCTGGCCCAATTCAGGAGCCGAATCTCCAAATACGAATTGAATCAGGAGACCCATTAAAAGATCTGAATCAAATCCAAAGCCTCTGGACTGATTCGAGGCTGATTCAGAGAGATTTGGATTGGCAAAGCTGCGTTTGGGGGGGGGGCCTCTGCCACGAGCCCTCAGAGGCCCTGATCGCTGCTGCCAAAGCCGGCGAGTGTGGGGCGCTTTCTTTTTTTTTTTTTTTTTAAAGTGCTGGGAGCCTGGAGCCGGGCAGGGGATGGGGCCAGGCAGGGCACCCCCACCCCTGCGCCCTCCTGGGGTGCACACAGAGGCAGGAGTTACCCCCCTCCTCCCTTCGATGAGCCACAGCTCCATCCTGCGCCCTGTTACACCTTGGCTGGGCAGCGCCTGCCCCTGCCCCAGCCCCACTCCCACTCCCACTCCCTCCTTCCCTCACTGCAGTGGTCTTGATCTGCTCCCCCACACCCCTTCCCTTCCACCAAAACAGACTTACCAGCTGCATGCAGCTACTGGAAATCTAATTGGTATCGGCCAATATGCCTCCTTAAAAACTGGCTGTCGGTATCGGCCCCAAAAATCTGTCAGGGCACCCCTACCATTCATGACCCCATTTCCTCAGCATGGCCCCTCACTCCCAGCCCACAGCACCCCACCCTGGTGACTGCATTCACTGATGTTGGGACCCTATTTGGGGTCATGACCCACAGTTTGGGAACTGCTGCAATAAGTGCTATTTTGCAACCTAACCACTAGGTGGAAGGGGAATTAGTAATCGCTTGCTTTCACTGAACACAGAGTTGCATCTGGATTAAACTGACTAGTTTCAGGTACGTGCCTTTTACACTACTAAAACCTTTACCACTTGCTTAATCTGGAGTAGCTGTACTGTGGTATCTTTACCCTGGAATGAAATGATTACGTGACTACAAGGCTGCATGTTGTACATCCAGTCCACGTTTACATCCATTTAAGCATGTAATGTGTGCACATCCTACCTGGAAGTCCCAAATGTCTAAATCACATTTGAATAGAGCACTTAAAGAAAACCAGACTTCTAGATAATGTGTTCATATTTTAGTGAAGAATTATTGTGCCCTATTTGCCAGGCTAGTTAGTTATATTTGCTGTACTGTAGTCAAGCTTAGCAGTCATTTCACAGAAAAATTCTGGTCTGCTCAGGCAATTTCTTAACATATTTAACGGTTTCAAATTTCTACCTTTTTATAACGAACTTGTAATATCTGCCTATGATTGATTCTATAAAAAATAACTAATTCATGGGCCAGCTCTTACTTTCTTTATTAGGTGCCTAAATGTAATCCTATTCCAAGGATCAAGTCCCTGAAAAATTGTCAACACAAAAGGTGACTGGATCCTCTTCTTCCTTGCTGCTTTTAACACGTTATCATAAGAGCTTTAGTAATGGAATTGGCACATGTCTAAATAACCTCTCTTAATTTGCTTGGTTTTACCATCCTCCCACTACCACTTCCTACTTTGTTATCTTCCCTCCTCCCCATCCTCTTCATATTTAATCCATGTTCTTGATCAACATTCACAAATATTTTGCCTACTACTAGCTTGCATGCAGCAGGGGTTGAATATCACTATTTTGTGGCACTGATGAGTTCTAATTCAGGTCACCAGCACCCAAAATAAAATTCTAAAAATACCAGTCTTTTAGCTGGGTTCCCTAAAAAAACAGATGAATTACAAGTGCAGAATTACACTTAGATGAATTAGATGAAAGAGAAGTGGGATAAGTGTACTGCAACATATAACAACAAAACAAAAACAAAAAAAAAACAAGTTATACTGTCATACATCTGCTCAGATCTGAGAATGATAATAAATAGCCATAATAGAGCCTCTGCCATTCAGTGTGCTAGGCCTAGAAAATGTGAACATAAGCAAAGAAAATAGGTATAAAATACAAGAAGAGTCCATCATAAAAAAAAAAGAGGGTATAGATATCTTCCTCAGGAAAACAGATAAAGTATGTGGGCCAGACTTCAATAGTCTTTGTTTCTGGACAGATGAATGTGCGTGCGCATGGTGAACTTTCTCTGATGATCCACAACACCTGTTTATTTTTCTAATTAGGACATTGCTTCATGGCATATTCTTAAGAGTCACAAAAAGACACCTACCATGCTTTTGAATCATGTTGTCAATACTAAACTGATGCTCTGATTTACAATGGGAAAATGTATCTTCAGCAGAATTGAACAGCCTGCAATTAAGAAGAAACCAAACAGAAAGTGAAGAACGTGGGGCAAGGTTAATGTTTAAATTCAGATTACGTGGGTTTTTCTGTGCTTTATCAAATCTCCTCAAAACTACAGTTCAGTAGTGCTGCTCATTTGTTTTGGTAGTATGAGGAATGGAAGACGAAATAACACCTGCTCACCCACATCGTGAGTCCAAATTAGAATTTGCAAAATACTTTGTAATGAAGATGATACATGAAGAGATTTCAGATATTTTTTTTAAAGGAAAATTCCAGCTGGGACCCCTTCTTCATTAGCTGTCATGCTTTTACAACCAAAACACAAAACCTACACTGAAGAAAACAGCGAGATTCTACTGTGCACTGTGCTGTTGCAGGGCCTTACCACACTGTCCACTTAAAGCCACTAGAAACCCACTGTGCAGTTGCTACACATTTTCAAGCACCAACTTTATAGCTGGCTGGCCCTTATTAAAGCTGACAGTCACGTTAATGGTGTAATAGCTTGGCGCATGCGGATGGTCTACATTGGGCACATCTACATGAGACACTACGTCGCCATAGCGCATTCCTACAGCTGGGGGTGGCAGCGGCACGCAGTAGATCTTGGGGTGCTTTTAAATACTACAGGTGATCTCCTACTTAAAAAGGCTGAAGACCACTGCTACTGTGCGTTACTACCACCACATACCTGCCAAAAGTAAGGGCGCTAAGACAGCTGTTACTCTGTCACCATGTAGCACTTCCAAAAACAAGTACTAAAGGACAGCACAGTAACAACTGCACCGTGGGGGAAATGTGTACACATGCCCATTGATATTTACTTGCACAGTACACCTGGTCAGCGGATATTTACCCGAGCACGTGTAGACACGCCCATTAATATGTAACTGCGCAGTATGTGACGTGCAGCAAGCTAAGGTCACAGGCTGAGCGCACGGGACCTTCCGTGACAGCACAACCCGGCCCCAGCGCCTCAGGCACTGGCCGCTACCCGTGGAAGCCCCGAAAGGGTGACCCTCCCGCCCCGCCACGGACCTCTCGCAGAAGAGGCAGCGGCTCCGAGGCTCCTGGGCCGTCTCCTCCTCCTCGTCCTCCCACAGATCCTCATCGCCGCTGCCCCACAGGTCGGTAGAGGGACCGCCGGGACAGCTGGCCTGCGCCCTGGCCCCGCGCCCCCTGCCGACTGGGCGGCCTCAGGTAGCACGTGGGACTGTGTGCTCCCGTCTTCCCCGCAGCTGGTGTAAGGGGCACAGAGCTGCACGGTTTTCCCCTTGCCCAGTTTTTTCCTCCCCTCTTGATGCCTGAGTTCTCAGTTCCTGCAAAAACCACTGCTTCCCCCCACCTCTATCCATCCCCTCCTACCTTGATCCCGATACAAGAGGCCCCTCGTCTCCCAGCCAACCCCATTGGCTGTCCCCCATTTGGTACCTGCAAAGGACCCAACTGAATGTGTGGCCACAGCAGAAGCACAGCTAACTGAAGCGCGTTGCTATTGACCAGGGGTTGAGGGGGGGCTGTAGCCACCCCAAAATTCACCTTAGTCCCCCCTCCTAGCTACTTCCTAGCTCCACCTATATCCAAGCCCCCTGCTTCCCCCCAGGCCTGCTGCTGAGCCTGCCTGCAGTCTGCAGAGGCACGGTGCCTTAAGTGGGTGCTGTTAAAAAAACAAGTATGTTTGGCCAGAAGATGTATAGCACAACCCCCACACCCTTCCAATTTTCTGTGTAGCCCACTTCAGCCCCCTCCCTCCCTCCCTCCACCTAGAAGAGGCTAGCACCGCCCCAGCCATTGAAGCCTTGTGTGTCCACAGCTGTTTTGATGCTAGTCATCTCCTACCTGTCACTCCCATGTTAAAGTGATTGTCTGCTTTTCACCTTAGCGTAACTCCTCCGGTGAGGGGCTGCGGGTGTGTGGCCATGGTGACTCAGTTTCTCCCAAGAGCCCCTCGTTTTAGCAAGAGAGAACAAACACGTTGGATTTATTTATCCCCGCTAGCATTAGAACCGCAATCTGTAATATACCCCAAGACACCCAGCCTGGAAACCTGATAACAAAATGACCCCTCTCACCAGCTTAAAATGCCAACCGCAGCAGTCTCACAAGGACCCTTTAGGCTGAGACGCTTCACCTTGTGCTGTCTCAGGTTGCACAAGCACTTCCATTGCTCCACAGTCACACTGACTGCATGAACTTCTGCTGCTTTCTCTGTGCACCTCACTCGTGTATCACAACAGTCAGGTCCTCTCTCTGCCGGGGTCTCCTCAGGGGAAGTTGATCCTTCTCCGAGTGGCACTCAGACCTGCCTCTTCCACAATCTCCCTGGGGCCCATTTCAATGGTATGTGGAGCCTACCAGGCCTCTCCCCTGCTCCTCCCATACTGCTCTGGGAAAAACAGCTGCCACTTTGCAGCTCCTCTCCGCAACTTCTCCTCCTGCTAACCCTCAAAGCAGTCTGGAAGCTGTAATTCAACCCAGCAATCTGGGTCTGGTTTTCCTGGGCTCTCCATCCCTCTCTGCTTAACTTCTCGCAATGCAGTGGCAGAGGTTATATTAGGGTCTTTGCTGCCTCTCAGCTCCCATGCCAGAACCTCCGGGCTCCTAAGTTTCAGAATCAGAGGGGCTGCAGAGGTCATCTAGTCCAACGCTCTAGGTCCAAGCAAGCACTCAGGCATGTTGGCACTGTGTGTCACAGGTGCATTGGCAATCCAGAAATCTCCCAGAATACATTCAAACAGAGTTGGCAACCCTACTCATCCAATGCTGATTCGGCCTATTTTGGATGAACCTGCCATGAAGAAGAGGCTTCTCTGCTCACTGCTCAAAGTTCACTGCTAGGCAGCTAATTCACTGCTTTTGTGTCCCATCCCCAGGGCCAGGCCAGGTAGCACAGGACTAGGGCAGCAAATTGAAAGGGGTGGCAAAAACAGGGTGCATAAACCTCACATGGGCTCGTTACAGGCTGCCTCGGAAATCTGTGCATGTGGAGAAGTGAGCAGGGCAGCTCTGGCACTGCTGAGCCACTGCTCTGGGGCTCTGTCTGATTCCCACCATCACCAGGTCCCAGGTATGTTAAGAGAATGGTGGCAAATTTCATTTGCCTAGGATGGCAAAAATCTTTCCACCACTCCTGCCTAGTCTTCCTCTGTTCCCCCAGCCCCCACCAAACACATCTAGTTCTCTCAGCCTCACGTGGCTTACATTCCAACCTCTTTTTCATTGTTGTTGCTTGCCTCTGGATCCTCTCCAGTTTTTCTACTTCCTTCTTATAATGCAGTGCCCAGAACCACACACTTGTTAGGAACGCCCAGCATAAATATATTCATATCCTATTTATACCCATATTTTCATGTACTAACATTATCCTTTAGCTCAGTGGTGTCAAACATATGGCCAGTGGGCTGGATCCAGGTCATAGAGATGTACAGTCTAGCTCATGAGCTTCAGACCAACCCTGCACACCGCATGCAGTGTGCAGACACATCTGGCATGCAAACTGAACCTGATGCCACTGGCACACAGGGAATCAGTCTGGGGCACTCACTGTATGCGGCACTCCTCCTGGATGAACCTATGGGCTGGCTCCGGGGTTAATTAGGATCAGGCCATGACAGCCAGCAAGGAAAGCTGGTCTGGTGGGATGCAGATGCAGCTCGCCCTGCCTGTGCTGGCTCCCTGGGCTATAGGTCATGCCTGCAGCACCAAGTCCATCCTGCCCACCACATGCAACACAAGCCCTGAACTGGTACCAATGTGGGCTGCCTGTGGCAGAGGGGGGCAGCATGGGAAGTGCACTATATGTGGCACCCCTCTGGACTGGTCCTGTATGCTGGCTTTTACACAGTCTGATCTGGGCCACGGACTGGCCCAGAGACCCATGGAGCTAGATGAGTTTGATGCCCCTGATTTAGCTTGAGAAGTTCTCCTTCTCCAATCTATTTATAGAGAGCAATTGTATTGTCAGAACCCATTGTTCATATGCCTATAGTACAGTGGAGGATTACAGAAGGCAGTCTGTCAATCATTTTGTAAGTAGGTCATGTAAGTAGGTCACGAGTGGAAAACTCCAGAGCCCAGTGACTATATATTAACGACCTAGAAAAAGTTCCCACCAATCTTATGTAAATTCGTACCCCACTATTGGACTGTTCTAAATTATTCCTACCTATCGGCTAAAGATTGGCTTTCTTGT